AAAAGTTAGGCCGTCGGGGGCCGCCACGTGGCGCAGGCCGCCGCGTAGCTGGGTTGGGCCTTCGGAATTCCGGGGTTCTTTGTGCGCCGCTGCGTCGGCAGTTTACGCAAAATGTGTTGGGCCAATAGGGGGCTATGGCAGGCCACAGAACGACACTGAGTTGATGATACGGGAGAAGGAGGCGGAAAGGAGGGAAACTGGTGGTGATCTCAACGAATCCCGGGTGGGTGAAGTAGTAGGTGTGGTCGGGGGAAGGGAAATCGGAGCACCGAGGGTCGCTAGTGGTGGCACAGTGGAATTCCCGCGGACATAGCCGATTCTCCGTGTGACAAGGGTATCGGGTCCTTATGAGCTCGTTTATTATAGGGTTGAAATAGTCTGGGTCATAGGACGAGTCTGAACCCCAAGATCGCGTCATGGTATCATTGTCGATGGGATAGCGCGGGTCGGGATATCGTCACCGCGCACGAGCACGTGTGGGACAGGCCGACTAAGTGGCGCCTCAGCATGCTCGTACGGGATGATGGTTCCGCCGTGATTCCTTTCGGGGTGAGCGAGTCGACGCGAGGGAATGCGTGTAAGGGCGCGACTCGGATCGCCTAATTGCTTCGTAAGTCTCGGTTATGCAAGATGCAATCATACCACAACCTCATCATGGGACAAGCAAAAACGAGAACGAAATCGACATCGGGGCTAGATTCTTATCCCATCTATCGCTGCATCCGGTGCAAGCAAAGATTCAACACAAACAAAAAGCAAGGGCAGGGATTCTCCGCAAAAAGATAGGCAAGCAGACATAACGTTCATGCATCCATACATTCGACAATCATACACATAATGCCATCGCAAGGACAGGTATGAGCAAAAACCCAAGTACAGATTCCAGAGAGCCCAAATGAAGATAAGAACGGGCAGACCGCCCGGAGCCGCAATCAAAATGTAATACACAGATGAAGAGGGAGAAGAGACAAAGAAACAGCAAATCCACGTCCATCAACCTCAACTCTCTTCTCCTCTCTCTCTCTCTCTCTGATGCGGACAGTCCGTCGTCACGCACCAACCCACGAAGTTGTCACCCCGCTTAGTCCTCCCGCACCCGTCGGATTCGCTCGTGCCCACAGTCCATCGTGGCCCACGTCAATCCCGCGCGTTCGGCACCAGCCCGTCGGGTCGCCCAACTCCGACTCTACTCACCTCTTACTTCGCTCGTGTGTCGACCCTTCCTGATCGCGCAATCCCGAGCTTCCAGCAACGGGTTAAGAGAATTGACTAATCGCGCAGCCGAAATTTATAGCGTGTATGCATGCGCGAAGAACACGGAATTACTAGGACTTAGAGCGAGGATTAGAGGGAGAACGCCTGCGTTCTGCATGATCGGCTGCGGCGTGGGGGACGTGACCCTTCTCCACGCATCGATTCGAGCATGCAAGCCGCGACTTACAAAATTTCAGCAAAAAGAAAGAGAGGGAGGGCGGGAGAGACGAAGTACAAGAAGAGAGATACAGTTACAATGGCGCCCGCCCAAAATTACAGTTACACACCCGATTAAGGGCGCCTACTAATCAGAGTACCGTTGCGGCCGCACGAAAAACCGCGTAGACAAAAGGCGCCGCGCGGCAGGAAAAATCCTAATTACTGAATTCCTAAATTCCTATCTAATACAGAAAAGCAAAAACACGAATTCTAGAAGGAAAGTCCGAAATTCCGAGAGTCATTAGGGGCTCGACAAAATTCGAAAAAGATTCAAGGGGAAATTTAAAAAGAACGAAGCAATTTCTCGCACGATGTCCGCGCCCAAAAGATCGAAAACCGAACAAAAAAAAAGGACATCAACATTTATTAATCTCGCGCGCGTATGGCGTCGCGCTTGACAACCATCCGACCAATCAATCAACCGGCTGTCCCAAGACACACCTGACCCCGTGCCCGGCCATTCGAAAAAGAAACGACGAAAAAGGACGAAAAAGCGAGGACACTGATGCAATTCTCCACCGATCCCGATCTCCCGTAATTGGCCCAATCTTCCCAGCTTAGGACCCCTCATTGCAACCACGCAGAAAATCGCGCGTTACAGAAAGTGGTTCGTCACAGCGCTGCCTCTGGTCTACATTGCATGATGATGTGGCGCTGCCTCTGGTCTACAATGCATGATGATGTGGCGCTGCCTCTGGTCTACATGATTGCATGATGATATGGCACTGCTTCTGGTCTATATTGCATGATGATGTGGTGCTGCCTC